TGCTCGCCGGCGTGCGCCCCGCCGGCGCCGACCTGCCGGTGCACTGCCTGCTGCGGGACGCCGCCGGCGAGTGGGACTTCCACGTCGGCCCCTCGCCGCCGCCGCCGCCGCCGCCGCCGCCATCGCCGCCGCCGCCGCCGCCGTCGCCGCCGTCGTCGTCGTCGTCGTCGTCGTCGCCGTCGCCGTCGTCGTCGTCGTCGTCGTCGCCGTCGTCGCCGTCGTCGTCGTCGTCGTCGTCGTCGTCGTCGTCGCCGTCGTCGTCGCCGTCGTCGTCGTCGTCGTCGTCGTCGTCGCCGTCGTCGTCGTCGTCGTCGCCGTCGTCGTCGTCGTCGCCGTCGTCGCCGTCGGCTGTGCTGCGCTCTCCTCCTGCGGGGATCGGGCGAGGGAGGCGGGCGGGGGGGTGCTGGGGCAAGAGTGCAGTCGGGCCTGTCCCCCTACAGGCCGATCTTAAACGACAAATCAAGAATAGCCAAAACATACCCTAAAATATCCCAAATTGGTCAAAACATACCCTAAACTATACCCTAAAACATACCCTAAAACATACCATATAATAGCCAAAACATACCCTAAAACGACAAACTAAGACAAGTCAACACCTACCCTAAAATATCCAAACATGGTCCAGAAAATCGCCCCCTGACTATGAGGCCGATCGCAAACGACAAATGAATAATCATCAAGACGTGCCCTGAAATACCCAAACATGGTACGGAAAAACACCGCCCCCGGACTCGTTCTTGACTACTTTTGAACACCCCTCCTGTAGAGGGACAGGCCCGACTTCGGTCGGGTATGGCCAGGACCCCAGTTAAGGGGACCCGGTTAGTGGTAGGGCCCAGGAGCCTGGAGTGGCCAGAATCACTAAACCAGGTTCGCCATAGCTGGTGTTTTTTTTCGGGTGACGGCAGTTCCTCTTCGCGGAGATGGGACGGGGGGGCGCCCCCGGTACAGATCACTAAACCAGGTTCCACTAAACCCAGTTCTGCCAACGTCCGACTTAGGGCAAGGTTCCACTGAACCCAGTTCTGCCAACCCACTAAACCAGGTTCCACTAAACCCATGGTCCAGAAAATCGTCCCCTGACTATGAGGCCGATCGCAAACGACAAATGAAGAATCATCAAGACGTGCCCTGAAATACCCAAACATGGTACGGAAAGACATCGCCCCCGGACTATAGTTCTTTACTACTCTTGAATGCTCCTCCTGCAGAGGGACAGGCCCGACTTAGGTCGGGTATGGCCAGGACCCCAGGTAAGGTGACCCGGTTAGTGGTAGGGCCCCGGAGCCTTTGGAGTGGCCAGAATCGCTAAACCAGGTCTGCCATAGCTGGTGTTTTTTTTCGGGTGACGGCAGTCCCGGTTCGCGGGAATGGGCCGGGGGGGCGCCCCCGGTACAACTGAACCAGGTACCATTCAGCCCAGTTCTGCCAACGCCCGATTAGGGCGTTGGCAGAACTGGGTTTAGTGGAACCTGATCGCAAACGACAAATCAAGAATCATCCATACGCGCCCTAGCATACCCAAACATGGCACGAGCAAACATCGCCCCCGGACAATAGTTCTTGACTGCTTTTGAGTACTCCTCCTGCAGAGGGGCAGGCCCGACTCAGGGCAAGGGGGGGGGGGCGGGGGCCCGGAGCCTGCGGCGCGTGCCGCCGGGTGCCGGCCCCGCCGCGGGGCGCGGGGGGGGGGGGGCGCCGGGAGCAGCACCTGCGCTTGAAGAGTCGGGCCTGTGCCTCTAGGCCTCCTGGATGGGGTCGGAGCAGATGGGGTCGGGGGATTGCGCCGCATCGCCGATGCATCGCCGATGCGGCTCGATGTGGAGCCCGATTTGCCTCACGCGGACGGCGCCGGTGCATCGCCGATGCATCGCCGATACATCGCCGATGCATCGCCGATGCGGCGCGACCCTCCGACCCCATCTACTCCGACCCCATCTAGGAGGCCTCTAGTGCCTCTGCAGGAGGAATATTTACCCTCGGGGGGGGAACCAAAACACACAGACACAATGAATCGTCGACTCCCAGGAAGATTCGGAAAAAGATGGGAAGTGGAGGGGGAGACAAAACCCAGGCGGTGGGGTTGAGAGTCGGGCCTGTCCCTCTGCAGGAGGAATACAGTCGGGGCGTTGACCTAAGGAGCCCTAAATAAGGAACGAGGCCCCTGCTTCCCATAAGTTAAGCTTCGATTTCCCATGGGAAACCTCGGGAAGACCCAGGGCAAACTGCAACACAATCAAGGAACACCGAGCCCCTCCCCAGCGAAAAGGGTTCCTTCTTCAGCGCCCCGATTGTATTCTCGGGAGGGGAAAAAAACAGACACAATGAATCGTCGACTCCCAGACAGATATGGAAAAAGATGGGAAGTGGAGGGGAAGACAAAAACCCAGCAGCTGCGCTTGAGAGTCGGGCCTGTCCCTCTGCAGGAGGAATATTCTCGGGAGGGGAACAAACACAGACACAAGTAATCGTCGACTCCCAGGAAAATGTAGAAAAATATGGGGAGTGGAGGGGGGGACAAAAGCCTAGAGAAAGTATGGAAACGTATGGGGAATCCGGTTATTTGTGTGTATTTATTTGTGTGTTCCAGGGCCCCTTCATATTCAAAAACAGTGTGAAAATAGTCTGGGTACGATTTTGGGACCATTTTTGCATCTTCGAGTATTATTTGTGTATCTTTTTATCTTTCGTCCAAAAGCGGCCTGTAGGGGGACAGGCCCGACCTAAAGCTACGCAAGCTTGTTCGCACCCCGTCCCCTGTACCAAGTCCGCCCCTGAGTCGCCGGCGATGTTTCTCCCCCAATCCGCGAGCTCCGCCCGAAAAGTTTGGCCATTCAGCAAAAGGGTGGGACCTCCATGGAAAGCGACCCCTCATAAATCCAAGATCCCATGACTTGGGGGAGAAGGTGGAGGAGGAAGCGAAGGATGAGGAGGATGAGGATCAGGACGAGGAGGAAGAGGAGGACGGGGGTGAGGATGAGGATGCGGAGGACTAGGAACAGTAGAGAGAGACAGGAGGAATTAGCAGGAGGACAGGGGTGATTTAGAATCTCCCTCGAATGTGTAAGAGGGTTCGAATATATTGTCCACCTACGGGAGCTCTGGGAGCCCCCCCCCGAGGGGGGCTGTTCGGGCGCACCCCTGGCGAGGACGACGGGCGCCCCGCCCCCATTCGTGCATCCCAGGGTGGGACCCCCAAACTCTCGGCCCGGTCGGAGAACCCTATCATTAAGTCGGGCCTGCCCCCCTACAGGGGGAATATATATATATACATATATATATATATATCCAAAAACCATATATTGGAGCATTTTATATAACCATTCTATATAACCATTTGGGGGCATTTTTGGACTATGTTTCATTTTTCGTTGAGAACCCCCCTGTAGGGGGACACGCCCGACTTAACTCAGGAGGGGAAAAACACACAGACACAATTCATCGTCGATCCCCCGGAAAATATGGGAAAATATGAGAAGTGGGGGGGAAGACAGAAACCCAGAAAATATAGGAAAATATAAGGAATATTTTTGTTTGTGTGTATTTATTTGTGTGTCCTGGGGCCCCTTCAGACGCCCGACGTAACGTTACTCTCGTCCGACCCGTCGCCTCCCGGCTGCCCCCTCCCCGCAGTCTCCCCCGCGGCTCGGGGGGGCGGCGTGCCGGGAGGGGCGCGCGCCGGCCCCCGAAATGCCCACCGAAGGGCACGCTCGCCTCGAAGGGGGGCTCGCGAGGCCCCCCTCTTCGAGGCCAGGAGTCAAGCAGTGGCGAAGCGTCCCGGCTCGCCTATAGCCGCACCAAACCGGCCGACTCGCGAAGCGTCCCGGCCCCTGAAATGCCCACCGCTCGCCTCGAAGGGGGGCCCGCGAGGCCCCCCTCTTCGAGGCGAGGATTAAGTCGGGCCTGTCCCCCTACAGGGGGACTTTCGACGAAAAATAAGAAATACTCCCAAAATGGTTAAAAACAAAATCAGAAAAATAGTCCGGGGATTATTTTTTGAGTATTTTTGGACCTTCGAGGTCAGGAGTCAAGCAGTGGCGAAGCGTCCCGGCTCGCCTATAGCCCTACCAAACAATGTTCTAAGAACCTCTTGTGGATCACACGGAATGTTCTTAGAACGTTTCTGGCGGAGTCTGTCTGGTTTCAGCACATCGGGTTTACGTTCTAAGAACATTGTTTTGTTCTTAGACCTTTTTTGGGTTCGAAGAACATGTCGTGGTAGGACTATAGGAATGCCGGGACGGTCGGTCCCTGCTCAAAGGAGCGCACCCACAGGTCACCGACCTCATTTCAGGAGGAGAAAAACACAGACACAATGAATCGTCGATTCCCCAGAAGAAATGTGTAAAAATAGGGGCGTTGGGGGGAAGACAGAAGCCCAGAAAGTATGGGGAAAGTATGGGGGATCCTTTTTATTTGTGTGTGCTTATATTTATATTTATATATATAGGTGTGTGTGTGTGTGTGTGTGTCCCAGGGCCCCTTCATTATCGGCGACGTACATTGCCGATTCCTGGTCGAGGTGGCCCATCGAGTCAAACCGTGTGAGAAGGACGCACGATGAGCATGCACGATGAGGACGTGGCACAAGCAACCCGTACAGTAGGGACGCCCGCTGAGGATGCAGAAGGGCCTCTGGAGGCCGCGCCGACACTTTTTGCAAGCGCGGCGCGGCCAGCGGAAGCGGCCCAGCATGGGCCGAGGGGGGGGATGCAAGGGCAACCCTGGAAAGCTGCTCCCCCTCACACTGTGCGGGCGGACTGCAGCTTCCCCCTCACCAACCGCCCCTATCCCCCTCCCCTGCCCCCCTCCTTCCCCCCCAACGTTCCCCCTCCACCCCTCCCTCCCTTCCCCTCCCTGCAGCCCTCCCTCCCTGACCCTTCCCCCCCTTTCCTCCTCCCTCCCCCTCCTCGGCCCCGCCGAGCCGCCTGCCTTCCCCGACGCCGCGGCGACGCTGCCGGCCTGCGGCCACCACGTCCCGAACACGGCGCTCTCCATGCTGTCCCTGGACAGGCCGCGCCTCCCGCGGCGGGAGACTAGAAGCGGGGCGGGGCCCTCCGCCGCGGCGGGCCAAGACCTCTGGCGCTGCCAGAAGTCGGCGCCGAGCCCATGGCGGGGAGGAGGAGGAGGAGGAGGAGGAGGAGGAGGAGGATGAGGAGGAGGAGGAGGAGGAGGCGGGCATTCTCAGCAGGCTCGAAGGTGCCCCGGCCTTTGAGCAGTGCTCTGGGCCCTCCCCGAAAGACGCAGGCAGTTTCTCAGGATGCGCGAGCGCTTCTGGAAAGTCCCGCCGCCTTCAGAGCGGGCCGTCTCCTTCTCATTTCCCCTCCTCGCTCGCCGCCGACGAGAGGCAGCGGCGGCCAGTTCTTCAAAGCCTGGGGGAGGAAGAGGTGCCCTCGCCGCCACCCCTCCCCCGGCTTTGCTCTTTTTGGGGGGGCCTCCTGGGGGGCCCTCGTCCCCACTGCTGGCTTCGCCGCGACACCCTGGACAGAACGCACCCCGGGAGAGGTCTGGGGAGTAGCGTTAAATCGGGCCTGTCCCTCTCTACAGAGCGAATATTCAAAAATACTGAAAAATAGTAGGGGGACTATTTTTGGCGTATTGTTTGACCATGTTTGCATATGTTTTATTTATTTTATTTTTCGTCGAAAATCCCTCGGTAGGGGGACACGCCCGACTTGAGAACAGCGGTATTACTGGTGCCTATTGGTCTCCCCACGTGCCGGCGGCCCGCGGCAAAGAGCAGCAGCTGCGGGGAGAGGGCCGAGAGGTCCATGGGGCCCCGGCCGCGAAAGAGCACCATCCGGGTGGAGAAGCCGGGGGCCACGTGCAGATGTCGGGGGCGGCAAAGAGGGGGGTGATGACTAGGGGGGGGCGGAGATCAATATCATGGGGCGGGGGCCATGATATTTCCCCTATTTTCAGGGCGCCTCTTCTCAATTCCATCACGTCCCCTGGCCCCCCCCACCTGGGCCGCGCACGTGCCGCCGGTCATGATTTGCCCCCCCCCCTCTTTGCCGCCCCCGATCAAGGAGCCAGGGGCCACGTGGAGTTGTGAGTGCCGGAGTTGTGAATATCGCCCTCTGTGGAGTTCTCCATTCGGGGGTGGACAGAAGCCCCCCCTCCTGACCCCCGCCAGGTTTGGGCCCGAGGTCGTTTTCACGAAGCCACGTTTTTCTAAAGGGAGGTCTGTCCATCCCCGATCTAGATGGGGCCACGGAACATGTGTCGCCGCGCCGTTTGTTCCGGCGCGCGGCCTCACTCCGCCTTAGACGCAAGGCTTTTCAGTGGGTTTGCCGTGCTGTCGGCGGCGTCCACTCGGGCGCGTCGAGATTAAACGGCGTGGCGACATGTGAGGGGTGTGCCGAAATGGAGGAGGAGCCGCGCGCTGCCGCACCCCCTGGGGCCCTCGGTGGAGCTGCAAGTCGGGCCCGTCCCCCTACAGGGGGCATATGCAGAAATGTCAAAAAATCGTCTGGGGACGATTGTTTTACTATTTTTGAGCATTTTGGATGCATTTTTTTTTCGTATTTTTTATTTGTCGCCCAAATCCCCCTGTAGGGAAACAGGCCCGCCTTAAGTAGAGCTCCTGATGGGGCCGTGAGGCGTGCGAGCGGTGTGCCGAAGCGGGCACGCGGTGGGGGCAGGGAGCCAGGCCCTGCCACAGGGGCCTTGGGTGGAGCTCCCTCTGGGGCCACGAAGCGTGTACACGCCGGTCGTTGAAAGTAGGTACGGTAGGTTTGTGTCGTGTCGACCAGCGGCGACCCCGCCAGCGGCGTTCAACGTTGAACGCCGCGGGGGACCCAGAATCGTTCGATGTGGAGCGATTGGGACGTTTCGGAAACGGCCGATCGTTCAAGGTTGAACGATCCAGCGCGGTGTCAGGAACCAACGCCGGGGTCGACACGACACGAACCTGCCGTATTTCTGGATGCCCAGATCCCAGTCTACTTCAAGCGCCTTCCTACCTCAAGAATCGACCTGATGGTGCTGCGTTTCGTTGCTCTCTGGGAGGGCCCGGGCCCAATCCGCTGTATCCGCCTTCCTGGTTCATGTGTTTGCCTACTTCTTCCGGCCGACGTGTGAGGCTTCGTGCCGACGTGGACATGCGCGGCAACCGAGGAGCCGCGTGTGGCCGCGCCCGCTGGGGCCTTCGGCCCGGCTCCCCATGGGGCCACGGAGCGCGCGGGTGGGCGTGCAGAGACACGGACGCGCGGCGGGCAGGGCCAGGGACCGGCAGCGGGGGAGGGGCAGCGGGACACGAGGTGAGGCTCGGGGCACTGCCTCTTTCTTCAAAACGAGAACCCGACACCACAGGATGGTTGGGAGCGCACATTACGTCCGAACGTCTGAACTGAGTGCATATATCGACCACAGTGAATTTTAACACAACGTACTCTCTAGACAAATAGTTGTGAGACGCCACACAATAGAATATGTATCAGCAACATATGTAGATAAGCATGAGTAGTTGTTCTACTTCAGTTCCACCATGATAATTTGTTCGATACTACTGAGATAACGTCGGAGGTCTGCGTACCCAGGCCCCCCTACGTCATGATGTTTTCATCGCGTCGCCCCCCAGAGGCCTCGACCTATGCCCCGGGACCCGTTCGTCATCCTGCTTGGTCCTCGGACGGTCCCGGGGCCCGGCGAGTGCCCTCAGGGGCAGAAAAGACAGCGAAGAATCTCCCGTCATGTGTTGTCACGACGAACCAACAACACACACACACCCATACCTATAGGGGGATCGGAGAGGGCTATGGATGGGGGTCCCCGCTCGAACGGGAGCGTTCCCCAGGGTCCGACAACCCGCACCCATACCCATAGCCAGTCCTCCTCCCAACGACCCCCCTATGGGTATGGGTGTGTGTTGCTCGTTCGTCATTTTCACGACCCGAAGGGGTTCTGGGGAGGGCGTCCCTTCCTGGGCGGCCACAGACGGCATATCCCTGGGCACCGTGGGACGGACGCCTCGGTTCGGGTGGGGCTCTCCTCCTCCTCCTCCTCCTCCTCCTCCTCCTCGAGGATAAATTCGTTCCAGAGCGTTCCAGGACGCTCTCAGAGCGTTCCGGAACGCTCTGAGAAGGCCGCGGCGTCCGAGACATCCTCCAGAGCCGCCGGATCTCAGAGATCCCCGATCTATCCTCATCCTCGTCCGCTTTACCCTCGTCCGCTTTTAGCTTCTATCCTGACTCAGCCTCGTCCGCTTTTGTCCTCTTCCTGGCTTCGTCTTGATATCACCGGGCACCTTGGGACTAACGTTAAGTCGGGCCTGTCCCCCTACAGGGGGATCTTCGACGAAGCATACAAGATACCCCAAAACTAATCCAAAAATAGTCCAAAATAGTATGGGGACTATTTAATCGCTTCGCTCATGCCGCCGGCCCTGGAGCCCTCTTTAGGGCCTCTTGGGGGCCTCTTGGGGACCTCTTGGGAGTCTCTTGGGGCTCCTTGGCGGCGTTTTGGAGGCCCCCAGGGCCTCTTGGGGGGCTCTTGGGGGTAGTCGATAGCGGCTCCCCCCTCGGAGGCCACGATCCTCGTGAGGGGTGTCGAAAAATACCCTCCCCTGGAGTGGTCTGGTGGCTTCTCCCGGGCTTCTCTCGGGACCTTGCCGGGGTACTTCTCGTCCGGGGGCCCCCAGGGGCCGCTCCGCGCGCGCGAACTAGAAATATTGTTAACAAGTTACCGGAGATCTTAGCACGCCTCTGGCCCGTTGGGCCGGCGAATTTTTTAAATTTTTGTTTGACCTCTTTGGGGTATCTTTGGGGTATCTTTTCACTTTCGTCGAAAATCCCCCTGTAGGGGGACACGCCCGACAGAAGACCAACGCCCTGGTCGGCAAAAGGCTTGCAGTCTCTCCGTCCGTCGGCCAGGGCCCGCGCCGTGCACGGCGCTGGAGAGACCGTGTCCATCCGGCTCACCGAGGCCATCAAGGAGCCCCGGGCTCTCCCAGAGCCGGGCGCTGCTGACCACTGGCGGCGAGCGAGGGAGGGGGTGCAGGGCTCGTTTTTGGCTCCTCCGATTCGGTTCGCTTCGATCTCGATGGCTTCCCACTCCCATGTGGTTCGACTTGGGATGCCGATCCGGCATCCGATTTCTCACCGGGGGCCTACAAGCCTGCCGATGTCTGCCGATCCGGCTTTTCCCGACTCGGCTGCCGATTTTTCCGTCGATCCGCTTCGTGTCGTTTTGCCGGTCCGACTTGTCGATTCGATTCTGGGTGCTCCTGGGGGGAAGTTCACAGGCGACGTGTCTCCCCCAATCCCCGAGCTCCGCCCGAAGAGTTCGGCCGCGGAGGAAAAGAGGGACACCCTGGGATACACCCCCACGGGAGGCTATTCGGATACGCACCCTTAATCGAGGATGAGCCCCAAATTTTTGGTCCGCTCGAACATCCAACGAAGCTTGGGATTGGGGTCGACACATCCCCTGTTAACAGTGAGAAGGATAAGGCCTTCTCAGGAGGCCCCGAAGTCCTCTGGCCTTCCAAGAAGTCTTCCCAGTGCTCCCCGAAGGGACGGCCACCCTCCTGGGAGGCGCGAAGGCTTCCGAGCAGCCCCGCCGCTTTCTGAGAAGGCCTCCTGCATCGAAGGAGAACAAAAAAGGCATACAGTCGGCCTTGATTAGAAGGTCGACCCTGCACAATCAAGGGTTACCCTTGTGTCCATCATGAGGGTACCCTTGTGTCCTGTGCCTCGCGGCCATCACGAGGGTGTACCCTTGTGTCCTGTGCCTCGCGACCCATGCTTCTTGCATTCCTATGGCGCTGTGGTCCTCGGAAGGGTCTTGTGTCCTGTCGCGTGTCCTGTCCCATCAAGGCCGACTGTAGTTAAACATACACTTTCGACGCTCCGCGCGGGCTGCTTGCATCGGCGCTGTCCCCCCCTCCCCCCCCCCGGCGGCGCCTCCTTCGCCGCCCCTCTGGCGCGCTCCGCGCGCCAACTTCTCGACCCCCACGGCTGCAGTGCGCTCTCTCGGGCGCGCCAGTGTCTAAGTCGGGCCTCTCCCTCCACAGGAGGAAATTCAAAAATAGTAAAAAATAATATGGGGCCGATTTTCCGATTCTTTTTTTTGAGAACTAATTTTGAGTATTTTGTTAGTCCCTTACATTTGTCGTTGAAAATCCGCCTGTATGGGGACATGCCCGACCTAAGTTTACCAGAAAGTATCCGTTTGCGCAGGGGGCCCTGAAGGAGCAACCGGACAGGCACTTGCAGGCAGTGTCCAGCGAAGGCGAGGAAGGTCGGTGGACCATGGTGTTCGACGAGGGCTTCGAGGTCCGCATGAGCGGAGGCCTGTCGTTCTTCGCGCACTTCAGGTTCGAGGCTCTCCAGGGCACCTCCCCGGAGAACGGCGACCGATGGTCCGACATCGCCAGGTACTTCGGCCGCAGCCCCGAGGGTATAAAGATAGAGCCCCAGGGCGACACCTACGCGTCCTATTGCAACGAGACCTCATCTGGCTGGTGGCATCGGCGAGGGACATGTCGGCACCACCGCAACATACCAATGCTACGTGTTTGTGTGCCGTCCCCCCTGGGGCGACGCGCGCACCGAGAAATCTCAGGGTACATGCGTCGCGGCGGGCGCTTTCTGGCCACGCCGCTCGGGAAGCGATGCACTGCGAGATGGGTAGTACTGTATGCTCGAGTCGCCCGCGCGCCTCCGAGGAGGCCACGTCGTATTGGTCTGTCCCTCTGCGTCCCAGGACCGGGGGCGAGCTGGAGAGCGGCTGCTTCTGGGCGGCGAAGCGGCAGGAGGGCGGCGGCGCGGCCCCGCCCGTGAGCGTGGTGCGCCTGGCCGGCCCCGGGGGCCCCAAGGCGGCGTCCATGGCCGTCCGGGCCTCCAGGGCGCACGCGGCCGCGGGCGTCTGGGAGATCGCGGACCTGCGCGGCCCCGATGCCAAGGCCAAGGATTAAATTAAATCGGGCGTGTCCCCCACGCAGGGGGATCTTCGGCGAAAACTAGAAAAATGCTCCAGAGATATCCCAAATTATCAAAAAATAGTCAAAACATAGTCCCCGGACTATTCTTTTACCTGTTTTGAATATCCGACTATGTTTTATGTTTTGGCTATTTTATCGGCTGTTTGTTTTGCTTTTTTTTTATGTTTTTTTGATTTGTACGATTATTTGTAGAGGGACGGGCCCGGGTCCAAGGCCAAGGAGGTCCTGCGCCTCGAGCCCGCTGAGCCCCGAGTGGCGCCCGTGCGCTCCGGCCCCGCGGGGCCCGGCCGCCCGCCGGCGGTGGCGCTGCGCGGCACGGCGCCCAGGAGCGCCGCCGCAGGGGAGGAGGAGGAAAGTGCCGCCGCTGCGCCGCGGCCCTCCTCCTCCTCGCCCTCCTCCTCCCTCCTGCTCCTCCTTCCTCCTGCTCCTCCTCCTCCCTCCTCCTCCTCCTCCTCCTCCTCCTCCTCCTCCTCGTCCTCCTCCTCCTCCTCCTCCTCCTTCCTCCCTCCCTTCCTCCTACTCCTCCTTCCTCTCCTTCCTCCTCCTCATCTCCTCCTCCTCCCCCCTTCCTCCATCTCCTCCTCCTCCTCCTCCTCCTCCTCCTCCTCCTCCTCCTTCCTCCTCCCTCCTCCTCCCTCCTCCTCGTCCTCCTCCTCCTCGTCCTCCTCCTCCTCCGCCCTTCTCCGCGAGGAAGCTGTCTTCGGGGTCCTCTCTCGCTTCGGGGGGACTGTCCCGCGGCGGGGCTGCGGCCGTGCGAGCGCCGTGCCACTCCCGGCTCTTCTCTTGGGGGGGGGGTCCTTTCGACGCGCGCTCGCCTGGGCCTCCTCAGGAGCAATGACAACGCTCAAAAAGTGGCGAAGCGTCCTGGCTTGCCTATAGCCCTACCAAACAATGTTCTCAGAACTTGTTGTGGTTTCCACGAAATGTTCTTAGAACATTTCTGGTTGATGCTGTCTTGTTTTAGCACAGCGGGATAATATTCTAAGAACATTGTTGGTTTGTAGAACATTATTGGGTTCTAAGAGCATTTCGTGGTAGCACTTTAGGAATGCCAGGACGGTCGGACCCTGCTCAAAATAACACCACTAGGTTGCTTTTCGAGCGAGCTCCACCGAAGCCCTCGGCGTTTGTTCCAGAGTCTGGTGCTGTTCGCTGCTGTGGCCAGCCCGAGCGCGGCGCGCAGGTCGCGTCTGTAATCAAACGCGAGAGGCCATGAATGATTCGGTCGCTGCTGGGCTGCGTACTCCATCATGTTATGTTCGGTTATGTTCCGTTCTGCTCGTCTGTGATTTACTCCTGTGGCCAGCCGTACGTCGCCTCGCGTGTTGTTGCATCATCCGTAATTCAACCATGATGTTCAGTCATGTTATCTTACAATATACTCTATCATGTTCTTTTATGTTATATTTTCGACGGGCTGGAGTTACGTCGTGACGCCTGTCACGTTTGATACGTCGTCCAATCTGTCGTTGTTGGACCTCTTTGTTCCTGTGGTCAGCCTGGCCTCGGCGCGCACGTCGCGTTTGATAGAAAGCCGCTAATTAATCGGCCGCTGAATTGTTTCATGCTTGTTTTATGCAGCAAGCCTCGATTCTGGACTGTTTGGGTCTATCAGATCATGTTAAGTTCTGCTTGGCGTTATGTATTAATATTCCACTATGTCCTGCTTTGTGCTGTTACGCTGATTTTTTTTCATACGCTGCTAACCAGTATAATGTTATGCTGTGCGGTCTGACATATCCTTTATGTTATGATAAGCTTGATTGTGCCCCGATCGTTCATGATCTCTTGCTATTGCTCCCACACCGACGCTCTTACGCATAGTGCCTCTATGGCATCGCGCTTAGATTAGGACATCGCACTCAAGTTATATACAGCTCTACAGTTGCAACCTTGCTTACACGTCCATGGCTTTGCTGCATACTTTGTGAATTGTCTGTTATGTATGGTCAGTATGTGGTTCCATGTTCTATGCAATCTTCAGAGCTACTATGTTTCAATTGTTGTTCTATAACATATTCAGTGCTATTGTCGTATACTACTTTCTATTATGCTGGGATGCGTTGCGTGCGATTCGTTCTGCATGGCAGTGCAGTGTGCCATGATCTGTTTGGCTAAGGTGTCGTTTTTCAATTCTGGTATGTCCTAGTGCGCTCTAGTATAGTCGTTGGTGTAGTGGTCGCAGTGACGAACGCTTCTGCCATGTTTTGGTATGTTCTACTCTGGCTGGCCCCCTTTCTGTCACATCATGGTATGCCACGTTGTGCTGCTGTGATAGGTTATGTGGTGCTACGTTGTTCCCGACCATCCTGTGGTGTTGGGTCCTCGTTTTGAAGAGAGCGCCCCGCGTTTCACTCATCCTCCTTCCTCCTCCCCCTCCTCCCTCCTCCCATTCCTGCCTCCTCTCTCCGCGTGCCGTCATCATCACCATCGTCATCGCCATCGCCATTGCCACTATCCATCTGCAGCCCGCCCCTCACTCATTTCGTGGCCCCGTAGGGGACTCCACCGAAGGCCCCAGTGGCTGCGCTCGCATGGCACCACCGCACCCAGTTCGGCACACCCCTCACGCGGTTCGTGGCCCCTTGGAGGGCTCCGCCGGAGGCCCCAGCGGGAGGGTCCGCATGGCACCGCCGCTTCATGTTGGCACACCCCTCACACGGTTCGTGACCCCATAGGGAGCTCCACCGACGGCCCCAGTGGGAGGGTCCGCATGGCACTGCCGCCGCATTTCGGCGCACCCTGGCGCACCCTTCACGATTCGCGGGTCCATCAGGGAGCTCCACCGAAGGCCCCAGTGGGAGGGTCCGCATGGCACCGCCATTTCATTTTAACACACCCCTCACATTACCTCACACAGTTTGTGGCCTCATAGGGAGCTCCACCGAAGGCCCCAGTGGGAAGGGTCCGCATGGCACCGCCGCCCCATGTTGGCGCACCGCTCACACGTTTCGTGGCCCCACAGAGGGTTCCGGCGAAGGCCCCACTGGGAGGGTCCGCATGGCACCGCCGCCTTATTTTGGCGCACCCCTCACACGGCTCGCGGGTCCGATATGGAGTTTCACCGAAGGCCCCAGTGGGAGGATCCGCATGGCACCGCCGCTTTATCCTGGCGCACCCTTCACACGGTTCGTGGCCCCATGGGGAGCTCCACCGAAGGCCCCCGTGGGATGTCCGCATGGCACCGCCACACGGTTCGTAGCCTCATCGGGAGTTCCGCCGAAGGCCCTAGTGACAAGGTTCGCATGCGCCCGACGCCCATTTTGGCGCACCCCTCACACGGTTCGTGGCCCCTTAGGGAGCGTCACCGAAAGGCCCCAGTGGCAGGGTTCGCATGCGCCCGATTCCCATTTGGGCACACCCATCACAAGGTTCGTGGCCCCATAGGGAGCTCCACAGAAGGCCCCAGCGGCAGGGTTCGCATGCGCCCGACGTCCGGTTTGGCACACTCTTCGCACGGTTCGTAGCACCATGGGCACCGAGGGCCTGAGTGGCAGGGTCCGCATTCGCCCGACGCCAATCTTGGCACATCACTCGCACGATTCGTGGCCTTATAGGGCGCTCCACCGACGGCCCCAGTGGCAAGGTCCGCACGCGCCTGACGCCTATTTCGGCACACCTCCGCCCCTCACACGCTTCGTGGCCCCATAGGGAGCTCCACCGAAGGCCCCAGTGGCTGCGCTCGCACGGCACCACCGCACCCACTTCGGCACACCCCTCACACGTCTCGTTGCCCCAGAGGGAGCTCCACCGAAGGCCCCAGTGGCTGCGCTCGTACGGCACCACCGCACCCACTTCGGCACACCCCTCACACGTTTCGTGGCCCCAGAGGGAGCTCCACCGAAGGCCCCAGTGGCTGCGCTCGTACGGCATCACCGCACCCATTTCGGCACACCCCTCACACGTTTCGTGGCCCCAGAGGGAGCTCCACCGAAGGCCCCAGTGGCTGCGCTCGTACGGCACCACCGCACCCATTTCGGCACACCCCTCACACGCTTCGTGGCCCCATAGGGAGCTCCACCGAAGGCCCCAGTGGCTGCGCTCGTACGGCATCACCGCACCAATTTCGGCACACCCCTCACACGTTTCGTGGCCCCAGAGGGAGCTCCACCGAAGGCCCCAGTGGCTGCGCTCGTACGGCACCACCGCACCCACTTCGGCACACCCCTCACACGTCTCGTTGCCCCATAGGGAGCTCCACCGCATGCCCACGTGGCTGCGCTCGCATGAAAACCACTGCACCACGGTTCGTGGCCCCATAGGGAGCTCCACATATGTAAGGTGCCAGTGGAGCTGTCCGCATGGCGGCGCAGCTCCATTCCGGCACACCCCTGACACGTTTCGTTGCACCACAGCGCCGTCCGCATGGCGGCACCGCCCCATTTCGGCACACCCCTCACACGGTTCGTGGCCCCTCAGGGAGCTCCACCCACGGGCCCAGTGGCGCAGTCCGCATGGTGACTACTCCACCGACGGCCCCAGCGGCTACGTTCGTATGCTCCCACCGCACCTACTTCGGCTCACCCCTCACACGTTTCGTGGCCCCGTGGGGATTCCACCGGCGGCCCCAGTGGCTGCTTCGGCATGCACCCACCCCACAATGTTTGGCACACCCCTCACACGTTTCGTGTCACTATAGGGCGTTCCTCCGAATGCGTTGCATACAACGGCGGTATTTACAACTGCAAAAGGTTGGGTCCTTCGCCAGGCCAATGTCATGATTCGCCCTGTCATGTTATGGTATTGTGTGCTCTTTCATGATGCGCGAGGTTGTTCAAAGTTGCGATGTGTGTGTGTGTGTCATTGTGTTGTTTGTTTTGTGGTGGTACGAAAATATTCGTCACATATGTTGTGTGCAACCGTTGTTGTCGTGGTCGCAGAAGTAGAACACGCATTGTGTCCTCTACTGTGTCGTGTGATGTGTTTGATGCTTGCTGTGCCGTAGTGGTACCAGTCGTGCAACTGTTATGGTGTGATGTTATGGCCTGATATGCGTTGCCCTGACATGCCCCGTTCTGCCGCAGTCTGTTGTGCTATGGTATGATAAGGTGTGCTAGTTCATGCCGTAGTATGCTAAGTTCTGTTGTGACGTGTTTTGGCATGATGCGATGGAGGTTCTGCAGTGGCATGGGATGTCATGCGATGCTCGATTACTAACAATATCCTATGCTATCGTGCGATAGGCTGCTGCAGTTATGCTGTTACGGTAGATTGCGGTTGCTGCGGTAGTGGGAGCAGTCGTAGAATATTATTGTCATCGTCTGGAATGTTGGATTTTTTTTACAATTGGGTGACCCGCTCTGTCATCGTACGATCTGCTCTAGTCCGTGTTACTATGCGAGTGGGTGCAATGGTCTGCTCTGCCATGCCATGTTGTGTTCGCGTTTTGAGATGTTATGTTCCATGTCTGGTTATGTTTTTGGTCCAGCAGGGCCATGTCATGCTCTGCTCTGTGATTTCTTCGTGCCGCTCTGCTCACGCGTCGTGGCGCCTCCACGGCGCGACGCTTCGACGCGTCCCTCGGGGCTGTCGCTGTCTGCAGGGTGTCGCCGCTCGTTGAGGACGCGAGGCGGGACGCTCGGGGCTCCCCGGGATGCCCTGGGGCCTGGCGGCCGCGGTCTGGTGTCTCGGGGGCGGGAAAGAAGGGGGTGACGACTAGGGGGGGGGGGATCTCATGGCGGGGGCCGTGATATTTCCCCAGATTTCGTGGCGCCTCTTCTTATTTCATTACGTCCCTGGCCCCCCCGCGGGGCGCCGCGCACATGCCGCCGGTCATGATCTGCACCCCCCCCTCTTGGACACCCCCCTCTGTGCCGCCCCCGAGTGTCGCCATGCGTCGGGGACGCGAGGCGGGACCCTCCAGGAACTCTCTGGGTCTCGTGGGGTCCGGCGAGCGCGGGCTTCGGGCTGGGCAGACGGGAGTTGTTGTGTCTCACCATCTAAGAGTACCAATTTTGCCGGGTGGGGAACAATCAGGAGAGGAAAAAACACACAGACACAATTAATCCTCGATTCCCCAGAAAATATGGGAAAATATGGGAAGTGGGGGGGAAGACAGAAACCCAGAAAATATAAGAAAATATTGGGAATATTTGTATTTGTGTGTATTTATTTGTGTGTCCCAGTTTCCCTTCAAACAAGACGTCAGACATGAAACAAAAGAGGAACGTCTCCGCGGGCGACGCGGGGGCCCTGCCGAAGTCCTGGGACTGGCGGAAGGAGCTGGCGGGCATGCACGCGGGCGAGGCGGACGACCTGTCCGAGCAGTTCAGCCAGGGCAACTGCGGTTCGTGCTACGCCTTCTCGGGCGCCCAGGTCCTACAGATGCGCTTCCGCATCCGACTGCTGCGGGAGCACGGGGTCCTGTACCCGCTGGAGCTCTCCTGGCGGAGCGCGACGCGGTGCAGCCCCTACACCGAGGGCTGCAACGGGGGGTTCGCCTACCTCGCGTTCAAGCAGGCGGCCGAGACCGGCTTGCCGCTGGCGGAGTGCGATGCGAGCATCCCTCCCGAGAAGCTGGACGACTCTTGTGACTGGTCCTGCTACAGGAAC